TGTCTGAGTCCTGACTGGAGCAGACATCTTGTTTAGCATATCCTAGTTGCTCACTTTCCTATAAGGAAGTTCTTCTGTTGCTTAATTCAGGTGCTTTTTATACAATGGAATCTCCTTTTTGCATCTATCTTCAGAGCAAGTGGAGAAATGGGTTACTTTTTAGCTTTCTGACTCTTCTCCAGCCCTCAACGCATTCTTAGAAATGGTCCTTAGGGACTTGAAAATTGTTGTGACCTGGGGATTAGAAAGCCCTTTTCATATTTATATTCTACCAAGCCTTCCTTCAGTCCAGATGGGTAGTTTTCCCCTCTACCCTAATCATCTTCGCATTATCTGTTTCTGTCCCTGTTCTCAGTTCACTTTGGGGTGGGGGGGAGGGATTTAAAGACAGAAACTTAAAAATAGCTAACATCCCCACTTTCTTAGTCTTTGTTAAGTTTCTAGGGACAATGTCATCTTTTTTTGTCCTCGATTCCTGTTCCTGATTCTAAAGAGTAACCCCCAGACTGGCTGGCGTAGATCTGATCTTGAAGGGTACAACTTTGTGAGAAGGTGATAGGGAACTCAAAAAGATGTTCTGGACATTACCCAATGATGCTTGCAAAGAATTATGGATATATTTAGTGGTATTTCCACTCTGATTAGAAAGTGAAGAAGAGGCATCTGTCTTCCCTGAGTGATGTTTCTTATCAGCTCTGGGCGCAGAGCAAGGTTGTCACCGATGAGGCCTGAAAAGAGGAAAGATCAAATTAGCATCTATACCAGCCACACTCAGACATGCCTGCCAAAATACACACTCCACCAAAACACCCACACATCACAAAAGGATGTTCTTCAACATATACTAAGTACGTGTTAACATCTGCAACCATATCCACATTCCCTCCTATCCACAAACATCATACACATTTCAGTATGTACACTCAAATATATATCTACTGCACTCCTACCCACACTGATACACACACACATACACATGCACACTCACACACAGACCTAGTAAAACTACACACTGCACAGTGTAGGAGTGAGCTGATGTCATCTTCCTAGAATATCGCAGCGCAAACTCTGCCTGCAGATCAACTTTACTCAACCTCAGGTTTCAACATGTGGTCAGGAAACTGGGAGGTAGCCTTGACAACCAAGCCAAGACCCTGCAGGCCCAGCAGGATGCTGAGCAAGACAGTCGCGTACAATGTTCTGGTTGCTCCTGACTGGGGAGTAGAGAGCAAGGCATGTGTGATGACTCCACAGACAAGGCCAGGGCTGAGACCTGAGGAGAGGGACCCAGTTCTGGTGGGGATTTGGTCTGAAGAGGGCAGTTTGGGATGCTGTGGGTCACTCTAGAGGGGCCACACAGGTAGGCTGTGCAAGTGGGTGAGATGGGGATCCAGGACCGAGGGAGCCAGTGGGTAGGGGTCACATGGTACAAAAGAAGTTTCTGATCCATTTGAGGCGTAAACTGGCATCCACCCCCACCTCCACCACTACCTGCCCATTCGGCAGTAGGTAGAGCCACAGGTCAGCACAGTGTTAGGACATTTAATGTTCAAAATTCAACTCAAGGCCCTTCGGGGGGGCGGGGAGAGGAGTGAGGAAGAAGAGGAGAAAAGGGAGGGAGGGACACACTGTCTTTATCCTGATGCTTGAACTATGCCTTGGCTCTACTGAGGAAAGGGAGGCAGCAGGCAACAGAAGAAGAAGTGAAATCTGGACTCTAGAGCTTCTAAGGACCGTGGTCCTAGCAGTTTAAGGGCAGTTTCAGCAAATTCCAAAAGTAATTTGGATTATTATAATGTATTGGGTTGGCAAAAAGGTTTGTTCTGGTTTTTCCACAAGATGGGACAGAAAAACCCGAATGAACTTTTTGGCCAACCCAATAGTTGGTCTTAAACTGATCGAGAATCTAAATCCTGAGTTGGGTACAACGACACTGTAGAGTAACTTGGAAACTTTGAATGTTGGCTACATTAAACTCCCTCTCCCTAGGCTTGTGTGTAGAAAGAAGAGAGGATGAGAAAGTAGGTGAAGTGCTTTCTGGTTCTTATCACTGCCCTCTACAAAGTTCAGAACTAATCACCAATGATGAGAATAAGACACTTCCTAGGTAATGGGGGAATGTGGGGGATAAGACCTTGCTAGTGTCCCAAAATGAAGACTGTTTCCCTCCAGTTCATTGCATCATCATCTAGAACAGCTCTGTGGGATGATGTGGGACCAGCAACCATTGTAATAGCACAGGGACTCCATGGTCTAATGAAAAGGGCATATTTGAAGTCAGCAGATCTGGTGCCAGTCCTGGCTCTATTAAGAACTAGCTGTGTGACCTGGAGAGTGATACGAGAACCTACATAAGGAGAGAGTTCTATTTCCTAAGGCAAAAAACAGGTGATGATCTATCACAAGACTTTTTTCCATCAATTATGGACTAAAGCAAGGCCCAGAACACCAGACCCCCATCAACAGCATAGTCAGGAAGATGTTAAGCATTTTCAGGTTTTGGTGCTAAACCACCCTGTACACCTGTCTATACCTTGACCTGTTTCCCTGGCCTCCTTGGTGGTTGACCTTGGTCAATTCTGGTCTTGCTGACACCTGATCTTTTTGTTTGATGCAGTCCAGGGTATCTTGTTTCCAGTCCTAGCCCTGTTTCCAGTAACAATTGTTTCCCCCTCAATGAGCAGAGGTCTCACCTGGCCTGATCCAGCTTTGTGGAGGAGCCAGTGAAGAGACCATTTAAGAGATGTGTTCAATGCCAAAATACTAGAATTCCAGGGCATTTTAATGAGCTATATGAAGCAATGGAGCAGAATATTTGAAACCTGAACTGTCCTGGAAATGTAGGACATATGAGCATAGTAACCTGTTTTCAAGCAGTCTGCAAACAAGATGTCAACCTCTAAAAAGATCACTAAGAATATCAAACAACAGATTATAAATGCAAAATGGATGGTATGGATAATATTAATTCTTTAGTGAGAAAATGGTCGGCACAGGTTTTCAAGGTGGAGGACAAAGCTTAAGCTGTGCGTTCAGAAATGTGAGGGATTGGGAAAGATGGGAAGGAGGCAGTGAGGTATCCAAGAGATAATGGCATGAGCCATGGTGCAGCAATGCCAGGCACATATAGGCATACATGGAATGGGGACCATATTACAGGGCAGGGATAGGGATCATAGGCAAATGTTGAGGGCTCTGGGATGCAGAGCTGCTCTGATGCTTAGAGAACAGTGAGGAGAGTCACCTTGGAGTACAAAGTGGCAGAAACCTAAAAAGATAGATGGGGCCAAATTATGAAAGGTCTTAACTATTACACAAAGGAGTCCATACTGAATGCAGTAGACAGATGGAGGGTGTCTCAGAATGAGCTGAGCAAAAGAAGAGCAAGTGAATGCAGAACTTTAGGAAGGTAAGTCTACTAACAGTGGGAAGGGTGATTTGGGGATTGGATTTGACAGAGTCTACTGCAATCATCTAGATATGAAGAAGCAACAGGTCTTGAGACTGGATCTAAGGAGCAAAGTACAAGGTGAAGCCAAAAGTGAGTCTGAGTTTTCTGGGTAGAGTGACTGGGAACCAATGGTATCTGATAGAAATGGAGATCAAGAAGGAAACTGGCCTTGGAGAAGACAGTGGGCTTAGACTGACAATGATGTGGTGGCTGGACATCCAAGGGGAGAGACAGAGCAGGTAGGGGGGGCAGGATGAGAGAAGATGTGGACAGACTATGCAGATAAGAAAGTCAATAGTAAAAAAGTAAACATCAAAATGGACAATATGAATAGAATCTCTCTAAGGAAAGAAAGTGGAGAGAAAAGGAAGAGTGAGTGGACTTAGTGAGGGAACGGGGACAGGAAGAGATCCAGGGGAGACACAACCGGGGAAGGAGGCAGAGAAACCTGGGGTTAAGGAAAAAAGTGGAGAGAAAAGGAAGAGTGAGTGGACTTAGTGAGGGAACGGGGACAGGAAGAGATCCAGGGGAGACACAACCGGGGAAGGAGGCAGAGAAACCTGGGGTCAAGGAAAAAGAGGGGAGACTGCCTCCAGGAAAAAGTGGTCAAGGAAAATAAGACAGAGGCCACTGGGTTTGATTCATTTAACATATATGTATGAGGCACCTATGTATGCTGGACCCTGGGATATTGATTAGGAGTTATCCCCATTCAACAGAACTCTAGGAGTGCCTGTGATGCTGCCAGGTTCTGAGACTGGTTCCCCGTGTGGAAGAGGAAGACTGAAAAGTTTTGCAACACTCCCTCCACCCCTACCCACCCAGCAGTAGGTGAGACTCGGGTGGTTCTAGGCAAGAGAAAAGGCATTGCTGTAGAAGAGCATAACTTGTTGGGGAAGTTGGTATTATTGTGGAAGTAAATAGAATACTTAGCCTCCATTTCCGGAGAGCCAAGAGAAACCCATTCCGACTAGTTAGGAAACGCGGCAACGCGGTAAAATGGGTGAGTTCTGACAGGGCGTGGTTGAAAGTGGGGGAGTCAGAAAAGGCGACCTCCTGGTAGAGGTGGTGTCAACGAAGGCTTCTTCTTGGAGGTGTTCTTTAACCTGTCTGGAAGAATGGGAGAATAGGAGAGGTCAGAGAATCCCCAGCTTGAAGCGCCGCTCTCCTTTCCAGAGAGCCTTCGCGCCCCCCATCCCTTTCTCCTCCCGCCTCCCTCAGCCTGCAAGCTCAGCTACGGTTCCCAGCACTGACGTCAGCGAGCGATGACCTCAGCGCAGAGGCGGCGGCGGTAGGTGGGGGCGGGACTGAGACCATTGGCGCGTGGGGCGGGGCGGAAGCCAGGCTCCGCCCCTATCCGCTGGCTGCGGCCAATGGACTCCGCCGCCGGCTGCTCCGGCTCTCGCAACAGTATGAAAGGCGTGTAGCAGGTAAAGTCCTGGCAAAGCCCTCGCGACTGGCGACCGAGCAGAGGCTTACGGTTCGGCACGTCCCATCAGAGACCTCTCTCTGACCCCCGCCTCCGCCACCTCTCCCAGAGTTGCGAGACATGAGCCAGGCCAGCTGGACCGGGAAGAGAACAGACATGCTCCCGGAGATCGCCGCCGCTGTGGGTTTCCTCTCCAGCCTTCTGAGGACCCGGGGCTGCGTGAACGAGCAGCGACTTCAGGTTTTCAGCGGGGCTCTCCAGGAAGCCCTGACGGGTGAGCACATTGAGGAGGGTCCTGGCGCCCGTCGAACCCTGCCACCGGGGCTCGGGCCCCCTCCCTGCCTGAGACGTCTTTCCTCTCCACTTAGGGCAGGGCTCCCCACTCGAGCAGCTCCGGGACTCGGTTTCCTTCCAGCTCCCGGGGCGGCCTGCAGTCTTCTCCCCCCACCCCCATATCCCCACCTTCCGCCCATTCCTCTGGGTCCTGTCTCTCCTCCTCGGCCCTGCTCTAGGGTCTCGGTCCGCGGTTGTTCTGGTTGGGCGCTCCCCTCCAAGCTGTCGCGGGCGCAAACACTAGACCTGAGTGCGATCCCGAGTCCCCGGCTTATGTCCCGGAGAGGCGCGGGGGGAGCGGGGGGATACCTGCGGGTCCGAGTGCGAGCTCATCTCCCTCACTGGACCCTGAGACCCTGCAGGCAACAAAGCCTGACCAGCCGGGGGGTCCTTATGGAACAAGAAGGCGCAGTTGAACCTTCTCAACAACTTGGAGTCCCAGCCGTGGTTCTTCCCGCCGCGCGGGGCTGCGCTGAGCCTGCGTCTGCTGTTGACTCAGTCGAAGTTGGAATCCGGGCCCCCTTTGTATTTTCTGCCCACCCCCTTAGCCATCTGCCACCTATTATGGTACAGAGAGAGCCTTGTACGTAGTAACTGCGCTCTGCGGGCGTGTGCTGGGGTTGGGGGCGGTGCGGTGTGAGACGGAGGAGGTTGACAAGATACAAGCAGCCGCTGGCTGGGGAGAGACCCATCTCCCAGCTGTTTCTAGCGGGTTGGCCGGCGGTCTTGGGCAGCAATAGCCATCTCTGAACGTGCCGACACAGATCCTGCCTTCTGAGGAACAACGTATGTTTCATCCAAACATCCCGGTTTTGCCTCCCTTACCCTCTGAGACAGGCCTCTGACTTTTCAAGGCAGAGGGAACCACTGAGGCACAGGGTGGGAGACATGGGTCCGACAATGATGGCAGCCTTCTTGGCCTTGAAACTTCAGCTCATAGGTCCCCAGAGGCCCTGCCTGGACATGCCAGCCCCAGTCACACCCCTCCTCCTTAAACTGGGGACGTGCCAAAGGCAATATACTGGCTACAAAGGATCGACCCAGAGCTCTGGGACACCCTCCCGATACACATAAACCCTTGCCCTGGAAGGAGGGGTTTTTCCAGATCCCATAATTTTTTTTTCTGCTACAGTGTTAGGAGGGTTTCAGGAGGGTCCTGAAACTCATGAGAAACCATGTTGCTTACTTAAAATCACTAGGTCCCTTCCTCTCCTATCCCATCACCCCCACCCCCCTTATGGTAGAATCCATGGCCCAACTGTTCTAACCAGTGCATATCCCCCTTGTCCTGTCTCCACAGAGCACTACAAACACCACTGGTTTCCTGAAAAACCATCCAAGGGCTCCGGCTACCGCTGCATCCGAATCAACCACAAAATGGACCCCATCATCAGTAAAGTGGCTAGCCAGATTGGACTCAGCCAGCCTCAGCTGCACCGGCTGCTGCCCAGTGAGCTGACCCTGTGGGTGGACCCCTATGAGGTGTCCTACCGCATTGGGGAGGATGGCTCCATCTGCGTCCTGTACGAGGAGGCCCCGGTGGCCACCTCCTATGGGCTCCTCACCTGCAAGAACCAAATGATGCTGGGCAGGAGCAGCCCCTCAAAGAACTACATCATGGCAGTCTCCAGTTAGATCCCCCGCTGCCCCACCTGGCGCTCTGCTGTACTCATTCTGCTGAGACAACAGGCCACTGCATACCTCTACCTGGGGAATTGTATTTTAAGTGAAGAGTTATTTATATATATATATATATATATATATATATATTATTTTTTTTTAAGAAAAGGGGGAAAAAACCCAAAAGATTATTATAAGAAAAAAATCCTTAAAGGGAGCTGCTTGGAAGTGGCCTCCCCAGGTGCCTTTGGAGAGAATTGTTGTGTGCTTGAGTCTGGGAGGCAGTGTCTGGAATGGGAGGGGGGAATGGTCAGGGAGGGCATGGGTCTGGCCAAGGTGAGGTGGGAGAAGCTTGGCTAGCAGCCCAGGAAGATGTGAGAGGGAGCAAGCAAGGTTAGTAACTGTGAATGAGAGAGGTCAGGATCTGCCCTGGGGAGAGAAGAGAGGCTGAGTTCAAACCTCTCACCCAGGACACCTGCATCCCTGGCCCCTCTCTTACTCTTACTCAGGGGCATTCAAGCCTGGACTTAAATACTGCCTAATCTTCTCTTTCAATTTTTGATGAGATCCTTGGCAGAGAGTGAAAAGGCCTCTCCTGATTCCTTCTGTCCTGAGCAGCTTTTCTTGAAATCATGACTTGTTTCTAATTCTATTCAGGGGGCTGTAGATGTTGCTTCCCACCAAGAATATAAGGCTTTTTGTTTTGGGAGTCAGGGGAGTGAGGCAGGGGTTGAGGGTTATTGGAGTTGGGAGAGAAGGGCACTCTGCACAAAACCTTTGCCTTGCTATGAGCTGCTCTATGTGTGAGTATGTGTGGCAAATACCTTGGGGTTGATTTGCAGTGGAATTTTGGGACCCATAGAGTATCCACTGGGATATTTTTTGGCCAAAACCCTTCTTTTTGTAACCAGACGGAAGTCCTCATGATGCTGCCATTATCCCTTTGAGAGGTGGCTCAGAAGCTACAGGGAACTTCAGGTCCTTGAATACTGCCTTCTTTTTAAAAGCACAACACTCCTCTCTAACTGCCCCCCCGGGGCCTCCCCGCCGCTCCTCTCCCCTTCTGGTTGGGTCATGGAGCTACCCTATTTTCTAGCACAAGAGTTCTTAGTCACTGTGCAATATGTCCTCCTGGGTCCCAGGAGGATCTGGAGAACTGGCTCTCACAACCTCCTAGTGCCCTGGTGGGCTTAAGGAACCATTTCTCCCTCTGTCCTCAGGATTATGGCTGGATGCTTAGCCTTGTAGATATTCCTTGGCTGAATGGGAGAATGCCCCAAGTTCTGCAGGACTACTTGGTATTCTTGTAGGGCTGACACTAAAAGCCAAACCTTGGGCATTGTTTTTTCTCCCTGGTGCTCAGAGCACCTGTGGGAGAGGCTACTGTCTCTCTCAGTACAATCCAAATTTGTCTATAGACTTGTGCAATATTTACTGTTCTGGGTTGGAGAAAAATGGAAAATTACACAGGGAAGAAATCTCCTTCCTTCAGTTTCTCGGTGACATTAGTGAGGGATCCTCAGAAGGCCTTGAGTTTCCCAAACCCGAATCACCTTAAGAAGGATGTAGCTAGAACATCTGGTCAACCTGGCTACCCTCCTGCTGTTGCCTTTAGTGAGGAAACTTTCTCCCCACTGCCAGTCCCCTTTCCTGGATTTCTTAAATACTCAATTCTGACTCAAGGGTGCTAGTTACCAAACACTCCCCTACCCATTCCTGCCAGTACTGCCTCTTCAACTTCCCAGATCCCGAGCTACCTTCCCAGATCCTTTTTCCAGTCCTTATTGCCTTAAAGTTAACTTCAGGCCAGTAGACCCAAGAGCTCATTTTCTGGTCTGTGGGTTGAAACAAAGCTGTGAATCACTGCAGATTGTTGTTGCATCTTGTCTGCAAACAGGTCCCTGCCTTTTTATAAGCAGCCTCATGGTCTCATTCTTAATATTTTCTCTCTTCTTTTTCATGTTCACTTTAAAAACAACAAAACACCCAGAGCTGGACTGTTGAGCAGGCCTGTCTCTTCCATTAAGTAAAAATAAATAGTTCGTTTGTAAGCTATTCTGACAGAAAAGACAAAGGTTACTAATTGTATAATAGTGTTTTTATATGGAAGAATGTACAGCTTTATGAAGAAATGTACAAATTTACACTTTTTTTGGTTTCTTTAATAAAAATGTAGCATATGAAGTCGTGTGGTACAGAGAAGATAAAATTCCCACATCACTAATTTGCATTTCCCTCAGAAGCAAATCCTTTGTGTCTCATAGTATTTCTCTTCAGCTGGATTCAGAAGACCTATCGCGTAGGTGTTAGGGACATTTCCAAGCATCCCCTCTTTCCTGGGAGATAGCTCCTTACTTCCCTTCTTTAATGCATATTCTAACTTCCCTGTGAAAATGCTAGATGGGCCAGTGTTCTAGTCTGAGCATTCCTCAGTCTAACCAGGGCTCATCTTATGCATCCTGTTCTTACTCCACCTTACTCATTAGTTCATTCTGCAAGCATTTATTGTATGTGCTAGGTACTAAAATTATTAAAAATGATTAAGACTCACAGCCTGCTCACGGACTGGGATGGTAAACAGAGGATACTGAACCCCTTTCCAGGTGGGGCAGAATTTTTTGAAATTCCTGGTCAAGCTCTCTTGTCATCTTTGGGGCTCCCACTTGACAACCACCATTCTTATTATACAAAAGCAATTGGGCCTCAGGATACAGGCACTGGAGCTGAACATGTGACAGAAGGCCAATGTTACCAGTTAGCTAAAAAGGAGCTACTTCTGACAGCAAACACCAAGAGCATAGGTTTGTTACCCTTTATAACTCTGGCTATGTAGATAGGATCTATGCAAGGACATAGAAACACCCTTTCTCATCCCTGACTCTAGGGTTCTACCCATGAGGTTTTGAAACAGGCTTCCCCACCCCCACTTCACTTGCTAGCTCCATAGTTTGCGCTAAGGTCACAAGTACATTTTTGACCTGGGCTATCTTTTTTCTTGGCTGTAAGTGGGCTATACTTAAACTAAATTTTAAACATGTCTCATGAGCAGTGGCACCACCACCACCACCCTCACACACATACACACTTCATTTCATACCTCCATGACCCTCATCAACAAACATGCAGTTTGACCCAGGTGTCCTAGGTGGGAGGTAGGCCTGGGAGGCCGTGTGTGATATACTGGGAGAGTAGGTGAGCCAGGAGATGGGGGTCAGGGAAGCTAGTTCATCTGTATCACAAATAGAATTGGTTAGGGACCCACTTGTGTCAAGGAGTTGTTTAAAAGAATGGTCCCAGGGCTTCCCTGGTGGCGCAGTGGTTGAGGGTCCGCCTGCCGGTGCAGGGGACACAGGTTCGTGCCCCGGTCCAGGAGGATCCCACATGCCACGGAGCGGCTGGGCCCGTGGGCCATGGCCGCTGAGCCTGCGTGTCCGGAGCCTGTGCTCCGCAGCAGGAGAGGCCACAGAAGTGAGACGCCCGCGTACTGCAAAAAACAAACAAAAACAAAAACAAACAACAAAAAAAAGAATGGTCCCATTTTCATGTCTAGCTTCTAACACAAATGTCCTAGGTACTCATTTGTTAAGGATCTACCTAGGTCCTTAACAAAATGAGGTTAGGATTGAATTTTTGCCTTTCTGGTGCACTCTTCTCTTATTCAGTACAAAATCAGCGTCTAACTTCTTGTTTCCTAACAGGCTTCTCTCATGAAGGATATTTCATTGTTTAGTCGAAGGCCTGAAATTCAGGGAGGGTTGTCTGGGGGCTAAAGGGACACCATCACCCACCTCTGTTTCCAAGCCGGGTAAACCACAGAGTATGGCAGATTGATCTTGAGGTTTCTCATGGCTCTAGGTAGAACTAATAGTCCCTCAATTTAAATAAGAGGGTTCTGTGATCAAGCAGTTTGTTATTTACTTTAGATATGACCAATGTCAATAGGAGTGGAGAGTACCCCTTAGCCAGGTGAGGGAATAGGGGCTGTAGACAAGAATTGCTTGAGGAATTGCAGTTGGTGGATTTTATGTGTTAAGGGACCGGGCATTGGTTGGTCCATTCTGCTCCCAGCTTCCCCACTTGGTAAACAGTGCCAGCCTGGGAGACCTGTGCTTGGTCAGCTGTTTCTGGATGATAAGCACCACCCCAAAGAGTGTAGACAAGGCCCTGGGAGCTGCAGATTAAGAGCCCATCCTGGCTCCTGATAAGGAGGTTTGGGTGGGGAAGTCCTTGATGCTGCAACAAACGAGCCCCGGGGGAAGAAACCCACTTCTGTGAGGCTGACATCTGTTCCTCGAGTAGCCTGTGGTCCGGAAAGATAGTGAGGACTCCTGGCTTCCGAGCCAGTGCTGGCACCCGGCCCCACAAAGAGTGGTGCAATAGAAAGAGTTCTGGGCTGGGGTAGGGGGGAAGGGGGGTAGAATCTATGGGCTGTGGTCCAGGTTCTTCTTCCTAACTAGCTATGTGAGTTCGTATAAACCCTGAAAGTTTCCTGTCTCAGAAATTAGGGGGTGGATTAGATGAACTCTGTTCCTTTCTTCAACTTCTGGTTCTAAATCATCTCCATTATCCTAGCAATTACTGGAGAGCAAATTAGCACAATTATTATCATATTTTCAATTAGTTGAACTAAAAGTTCATTTGGGCTGGGAAGTGAAGTCAGTAATAATCTTCCCTTGTTTGGATCAGACTCCTGCCTAATAAGGTTTCAATTTCCAGGTCTAGTGAGACAGTGCTGCAAAGAGGTCAGGAGCTCAGGCCCTGGTGTCAGGCTGCCTGGAGGTCTAATCTCAGCTCTACCACCTACCTACTGGCTGTGAAACCTGGGGCAGATTACTTCACCAGGCCTCCATTTCCCCATTTGTAAAATGGGATTAAGAATAGAACCTATCTCAAAATGGTATGAGGATTAAATGAGATCCATATTCTACTTAGAATAGTGCTTTGCACATTTAAGTACTAAATAAATGAGAATTGTAGTTTTAAGTAGAAATTAACCTCATCTCTTCATGGGCTCTGAACTGGTCCTGAGACGAATAAGGACACTCTGACATTCTGATAACTGGAAGGAAACCATTATTAAATTAAAATTCCTAATAGGGCCTCTAAGAGCAGCTACAGTTAACACCAAGAAGCCTCTATAAGTACCTGATAAATGAGTGAATGAACTGATGTCTGACCTTTGTCATTCTTACTAAAATGGACAGTGTCCTTTCCAGACATCTGATCTCATTGACCACCGAGCAGTTTTGACCTGTTGGCTTCATGTTCTGCTTGTGGAGATTAAC